GCGATAAATAAATCATGTTTTGCTTAGAGGACCACAGGGACAGTTATCTTCTTGTAGCCGAACTTCCAGACACCAAGCGAGGAGACAGACTGAAATAGCCAGGCCAGTTTAAGAAAGGAAAACGAGCTCGGGGTCTAAAACTGAACTTCAGGCAACCCTATCTGCACCCCGGTGTCCTTGGAAGGGGGAGGGGATCCATTCTGGGCTACAGAAATCGATGGAGTACCACCCTAGACAGCTGCCCGACTGCGGGAAGCCAGGCTGGGGTATGTTAATAAAAGGGGTGCTGTGAAGACATGGATTACCATGTAATTGATTTTTGAATAATACACACTTGAGACAAGGGTATTCTTGTGAACAAATAACAGAACCTTCCCAAAGAGTGTTCTATTGGGCACGAGGATCATGATTATGTCCTTTTCTGGAGTTCAAAGGGACTTCAGGCAATTTGGAACTCTGCTCCAAGCTTGTGCAGGACCTGCACCGTGTACAGTGTCATGCCGAGGTGCTGTGGGAAAAGCATTAAGTCAGTGTGGAAGGCACTGGTCCTCCTGAGTCTCACCTCACTGATTCATTAGGTAATCACACAGCATGGGTTTCCCATTAAAGACTATGGGCTTCACTTACAAAGTATGAAATCATGGGCTGCATTAAGACACTTGCTTCATAGCCTGTCATTATTATTACCACGGGAAGTATGATATTCATCTGGGCTGCTTTTACAGAAGCCCAGAACACCATAAAATGATTGGAAAACCTAGGCTTATTAATGAGCAAGGTCCATGAAAAACATTTAGAAAATGTTTGAGTCAACAGAGTTTGAATAAGGTCAGTGCTTTGTCATTCTTTTTTTTTACTGGTCATTTGTCTTAAACGTACATTAAACACTGTCAGCTCTTCACTACTTTATTTACTACTTCTTCACTACTTCACTACTCTATTTGGTTGTGTTGCTGGTCTGTACACAATCTGTCACAGAATGTATTGTCGGTGTTCCTTTTGACTTAGTTCCCCAAAACAGAAGCACAAAAGACAGCATGAAGTCATTTTCACTCTTAACCTCCTCTCCACAAGGCAAGACAGCTGAATTTAAGAAGTCTCTGACAGGGAGACCCTGTGATCTTAGAAGACAAGACACAGGGATTAGAATGCAAGACTGATTTACAAAAGATAATTTCGCTATAGATTACAACAAGCTACATCCATTGTGTTCTTTATCCAAGAAAACCCATAGAAATGTGTGTAATCTATAGACGTGTGGTAGTGAATCAGACTGGTAAAGTAACCAAGCTGGACCCTATTCCCACTAAAATAAATGTCTCATCCTATGCCTGAGCAGGTGATTCATGCCCCTGAGATCTTCATGAAGAGCTGTGTCTGATCCTTCAGAAGAAATTCATATGGGTCTGATTGCCTACAGGCCTACAGTATAGTGTAACGTTTTTACTTGGTCTCAGAAAACTAATGGGATTCTCATGAAATCCCCTGGATCAAATCGTGTATTGAAATAGCAAGATGGGGACAAACCTAACAGCTCACTGGCAGTCTTACAAAAGTCATTCACACTTAGAAGAATGCAGTCTGCTTACAGGAATACGGAAATCAGGAATACCTGTTTTTCCATTTCACCAGGTTCTTCTGTGTCACAAACTGTATTTGTAACAAGCTGTTAGGAGCTGAGGAGATTTATTCCCGTGCAAGCAGAAAAATGCATAACCTTCCACTAAACCAGAACAATCCCACTTCACAGCACTCAGAAACATCACACTGGGTCACTGCTTTTTTCCAACAACATAATCAATACAGGCCAGTCCCCAATGTGTCTCGGAGGCCTTGTGATAATGCAGTCTCTGGGAGTGAAGCAAGGATTATATTCAGTCCAATAGTCAATGTACCTGAAAGGATCATTTTACTGCCTATTAGTCAGAGGAGAGCAATATGCCACATGAGACACTGGGCAGGGTTCACATTAAACTCTATTACGGAAAGAACAGTTGTAACTAGTGTGAGGTACCATCAGATATATCAGTACTTGCTTAATCAGGTCTTCCCCATCTGACTGAGAGTCAAGTTTTTGCTCCAACCAAAGTCTATTTATTTGAACCTTAAATTTAATAGATATTTTTAAATCAGGCCTTTTTGAATTGCTTTCAATTCTGGAGTAGTAATAGGTTTAATTAAATCTGCTCCTAAAATTACTTTTGTACAGGACAATTTCTGAGGTTTAATTAATCCAATTATCTCTCCATTGGCAGCTGAAGACCTGCCAATGGAGATGGATTCAAAACCAGTAAATATGGTGCTCATCAGCGATGCTCTCGCCAAAGTGTCTTTATCCCAGCAGGAGATGCTTTGGGATCAGAGGCACTAGAGCTGGCATTATTCAACAGAGGCAGCAACCCCTGCTGACCTGAATGGAAGCTGACATTTGGAAAGTGATTGCACCAGGTTTATAATCTAGACCACCGAGAAAACCCTACAGGCTGTGAGTTAAAGATAAATTAAAGGCATTGTAATCATCCTACAGTTGCATCACGCAGAGACTTGAAACAAGGAATTTTAAAGTAACCTGCTCCTAGCATGTACCTACAGTAAGACACCAGTGGCATTATTAAAATGATCTCATCCCACAAGGTGAAACATTCTCTCCCATACAGTTTATGCAGTGCGAATTGCACAAAGTTGCATTGGATAAAAGCTTTAGCAAAATAAATCTAGTATGGTTTAGTAAAATCTAGGAAACCATCCTAGCTGAGTAAAGTCTCCTTTAGACAAAATACGTCAAGCTGAGCCAGATGCCACCATCAGAGATCTGCTGTATGTAGTTAATCCACTTTGTGCTAAGTGTTTTACACATAGCACAGAACAGATGTGTTCCCTCCAAATATAAGTTGCTCAATGTAATATGGCAGAGTCTGTTGTTTAAAACTCAGAACATAAAGCTACTATATTCTTTTTGCTCATAGTAGCATGTAAACATATTGTATGTAATTTCTGCATGTTATGAAATGTTCCAATGAGGTTTTTTCAAGCATTACATTGATGCTACATTAATGACATTCCAATGAACATCCTACTAGCTAGTAACCCAAACCCTGTATTTAAATATGAAAAGCACCTGCTGTTTTCACATCATTAGGGTGTAATGGTTTCAGGTTGCTCAAGGGCTCTTCTGGGCTAAAGTGCGGAGGCGTCTTGGCAGCAGTTCTGTGATAAACCTCTTTCAAGATCAAAACCAAACTGTATACAATGTAGCCACACCTGCTCTTTAGTTTGCTCACCCTGCTATCTTCACTTGATTTTCCTTTGAGGTGCAATTTTATACTGAGACTTTTGTTGGTGGTGTCTGGTCTTCTGATCAGCTTCAAAACTATCAGGTGTTTCCATGAATGGCGATAATAAAAGTGAGTTATAAATGTATATGTGCAGATATTTAGTTTAGAATGTTTAAGGCAGTTTGAAGGCGCAGTGGTTTGCACTGCTGCCTCGCAGCACTGGCGCCCCGGGTTCAATTGCAGACCTGGGGTGCTGTCTGTGAGGAGTTTGTATGTTCCCCCTGTGTTCATGTGGGTTTCCTCCAGGTGCACCAGTTTTCTCCCGCAGTCCAAAGACATACTGGTAGGTTAATTGGCTTCCAGGGACATTTGGCCCTGGCATGAGTGTGTGTGTCTGTGTGTGCCCTGGAATGGACTGGCATCCCATCCTGGATGTACCCTGGTTTGCCCCCGTTGCTTGCTGGGATAGGCTCCAGCTCCCCTGCCACCTTGTATCTGAAGCAATGGTTAGAAAATGGATGGATTATAAACCAGAAACAATCACTTGTAATAGGAACACCCATCTGGTCTGCTGTGTGAGAGGTCACTCCCCGAGGTGCAAGGTTGAGATGACACAGATTATGGGGAGAAGAAACAGTCAAGCCAGGGGCCTGCTGGAGGAGGGTCTGAGGGTCCACTTCAAGCAACTCCAAACCACGGGCTGATTCAGTAGCTCTCATAGTCACACAGCAAGAACGGCTCAGCCAAGGCACGTTTAATTTGGACAGTTAGTGCGCGGCTCACTCACACTGCAGCGAAGAGACGAGCAGGCTGCAGAGCTGTAAGACGAGCTTGGACAAAGGCAACGGACTGATAAATATGGAACTCCGTAACAGGACGTACAGTAAATCATCAGCCTTTATAAAGCAATGAGCGATGCTATACTGGAATAGACTTGCTTTGCACGGCATTAGGGCCACAAGCCCTGTGACCACTGAAAGAAGTTTTCACAACAGTCTGAAATTGTGCATACTTTGCACACATTAACCAAGTGCAGTTATTAATGGTTATGGTTAATTTCACAGCACAAGATAAGCGAGACAAGAACGTGCATCTTGGGGTCACCTACTGTAACTTCAGAGTCACAGATAATTTAAAAAAGAAACCTCAAAACCTGCTACTTTAAAACACTGTTTACAGGGTTAGTTTCCTATCTCCTGGACATATCTTCACAGTTAATTGGTTACTCTGAATAAGAAAAAAACATTGCACATGGTGTATATACACTGTACTCCCTTGACAATATACAGCTTCACAGATGACAGAACAGAACAAGAAATAATAAATTACAAAATAAAAAAATGATCAAGTAAAGCCCCTATGATCATTGTTCATATGCATGGCTTTGAAAGTTCGAAACAGCATATGTGAAGCTATGACTGCATTCCTGTGCACATAGCAAGGCTTAGCAAAGTCTCGTGGTGCAAGTATTGACAGTACCAACAGCACTCAGTCCAATTCTCTCATACAACAAATCTTACTCAACCAAAACAATTTGCATTCCAAAAAGAGCACCTTTTGAGCACCCTGGAAAGTAGAATAAATTATGGAGGATAAAGCATAAGGCTTGTATTGCTAGGAGATTAGGTCATTCTGTCCAAACCCAAACGTAAACAGAGTGCAGTACACTCCTAGTCTGTGAAACAGTGCCCTCACACCCATTCTGGCAGTGCCTAGGTGACTCACCAGCTCCGTGGTTCAGGTCTGAGCTGCTGATGGAGTGCCACAGAGAGCCCAAAAAAGCTGCCTGCTTCGCCCTCCTTTGTCAAGGTCTCCGTGGTGTCCAGGTTGAAAACGGAGCCCTGGCGCGGGCATGTCAGTAGCACCCCAAAGAAGAGAAACAGGCTGGCACGGGGCAAGGGCACGGTGGCACCCCCGAGGGTCCTGTAATGTGTCATGGCAAGTCCAAGATACCCCTCCAGAAGGCTTGAACTGGAGCAGACCCCAGTACAGATTTGTATTCCCTCCTGTTTTCGCCGCTGTGATCCAGTCTCCAGGGGCCTGTGTGTGTTCCAGCCTGATCTCACAATAATTCTTTTTTTCACACTTCGGCCCTCTCCCTCTCTCTTGTCCGCCCTCTCCCCCCTCTCTCCGTCTGCTGCCGCCTGTCTGAGCAGCCTGAGAAAAGCTCGCTGCGCGCAGAGCCGGCTCCTGTCTCTCGCTCTCTTTCTCACTGTGTGACTGAAAGGCATAGGACAAGTGCCTCGCATAGCCCACTCACTCCCTCCTCCCCCCTCCCCTCCCCGCTCCTCTCTCTCAGCTGACATCAACACTCAGGGGACCTCTGCCAAAATACCAGGCAACGCTGTCAAGATATTTGGAATCATCTGAAAGGAAAGAAGCAAAGGAGGAGGAGGCAGGCTACATTATCTGCTAAAGACACAGTAATTGTCTTGCCCCTCTTGGAAACAACAAGGATGTGAGTGCTAAGAGGACAGAGGGTATGGCTTTGATTTGGTAGACCCTGCGAAGTTTTTTAGCTCTGGAAAGAACTGAGCCGGAATTCCACTGAAAAGACTGTGGTGTCCTGCAATTAACCTTCGTAACAATCATAGCCCCAGCTTTTCTGGCCAGAGAGAAATGGTTTGGACTGGTGCTTTAGTTCCCCAAGGTACACCAGCAAAGAATTAGTGTGGAGGGGAAAAGAGAAAAATGGGGAGCAAGGGACATTTGGGAGAGGAAATGACAGTGTGCATGATCCCATTTTTAATTTCTGGCAACAGTTTAATAAAAATTCAGCTCAGCACAAAACAGCCATACCCTGTACAACAGTCAATCAAGTTTGGGGGTGTGCTGAATACAACAAACATATTAAATATATATACAGTATATAAATGATATACATATGAATGTTTGTGTAGATGTATTGTATGCTGGTGACCAAAAGCTTCCCAAGCTATGGACCGAGTGTTTTAATTGTGGAAAATAATATTCTGAATCACACAACATACATGATCATAATACATGTTTAAAGAAGTGTTCTCTCAGAACACAGAGAAACGAGGAGGCCTCTCTGAAAAACAGGCAGTTTTCAAAGTAGTTTATATACTGTAAAGAGATGACATCATACAATTTACAATGAAAAGCAAAAATCCCTTCCTTATATGGCACAAATCTATACCCAATTTTAAATCGTCTTGTCACTTACTAAGCTACCACTCCAATGTGATCTCAAAGAGGTCCAATGCGATCTCAAGAGCTGTGCCTCTCCGTTTATAGACACTCTGGATCTCTTCATTCTGCCTAAGAGCTAAAAGCAATTGGCCACTACAAACCATAGAAGATGCCTTTGTGTGTGGCTGCAGTTCTCTTTGACAAATGATTTTCCTTGTTTTCAAAAAGCACTAGCTCACTTCCTCTCAAACTCACTTATAGATGGGCCAACAAGAGAAACTGTCTGATGCCTCATCTTAATTTAGCCTACATACAAAGACATGAAGACAAACTTCTGCAGAAACAATCCATGTTTACTTCTGCAACAGTATAAATGATTTTATAAAAGCAATCTGACACCACTTTACTAACGCATCGACACATTTCCAGTCCCTCAGGTCTGTACGAGTACAAGCAGAAAGGTGCAGCTGAGCCCATAACCTGCACACTGCTGTTCCCCAGCCTTTTTCTCCCCTGCTGTACTGACGGACATCCAAGTCCTCACAGCTTTCTGGTTTCCTGCTGAGCTCTTGATGACCAAACTGAATGGATTATTTGCCTAAATGAACAAACAGAACAGATGTTCTAGGTTTGAAATCGGGAGCCCCACCACTGTGCTCAATAAACATAAGGCTGATTCACCTGTCCCACCAACCTCCAGCCAAGCTCAGACTGCCCTGGCTGTTGTTCCTGATCCGAGCCATGGGCACAGCTCTCTGGGAGGTCACAGAAGTCTGTCGGTCACAGTGCTGTAAAGTAGGGTATTGTTATCACAAGATACTTGAATATTCCAACAGCAGACCATCAAGTTATTTCTATAGCTACATCAAATCCCACCTTTACTCCTGAATACAAACTGCACAGTTCTATATTAGCATGACTGTTCATGGTGTTAGGACACCAGGATAAGCATTCAGGACTTCAGGTTCAATAGTTCTGTGTTTCATCAAGCTGTTACAGTATTCCTTTTAAGTTTCTTAATTACACCTCAACGAACATTAACCAACAGATTTTTTAAAAGTAAGCTCAATGAAACAGGGGCATGTTTTATTCTTTAGAGTTGGCAGAGTGCTGAATATATGGTAAAGTGTTTAAAAACAAGCCCACTCAGGCTCTCCCAATCTGGGTGTGCGATACTAGGATGTTGTCTTAAGGATGCCACACCTGGTCCTTGACTCTCAGCTCAGGGATCTCTGAGGAGGTGGACCCCACACAGCCCGCTGTCCAAAATCACGCAAACGTCCCAGACAAGGCGTGTCAGACACTCCCGTGTTTCTGAGTCTGTAACTCATTAACTCTGCAGTACTGACTAAAATTAGCACTGCATTTCTCTGTCCAAATCCAAACCAATAAACTGGACTGGTCTCACATGATGCAGAAACCCCCCTTTTTTTACTATTGACATTAAGGAGGCCAGGTAACTAAAACTAGAGCAAAATTTTACAACTAAAAAATCCACAACTATGTATCCAAAATGAAGTCCTAAACAATAATAAAGCCCTGACCATACACTAATATTGGGATGTAGGAACCAACCTGGGGCAGATCAGATTTTTATGAGTCGCTCAGGAATTTTCTCTGGCACACCAGTTAACATGCACTGCTCTTGAGATGTAAAAATAGCTGCACCTGTTTTAAAGCAGGGGTAGAGGGAAGAAGGCCACCTGCTGGTCCACCACAATCACTTCAAGCAGCAGCCCAGTTTCCCTGCTGTCGGCACTTGGTTACGAGACTTGCAGCTGCCAGCCCAGACTTGACAACACAAACCTGGCGATTCCAAACGGGGATCGTCATTGTGCACCAAAATCATTGGAAAAACTTACGAGCCCCTTTCCTCCTCCTGTGCATCTCATTCATGCAGGCAGAAGCAGTTCCCCACATTCGCAGAATGTCACACAGAGTGCCATACTTATTAGGCCTATTTTTCCATGTTTCAGCTGGGATCAAAATGAAATCTCTGGCCTGTATTCATAGCTTTAGTGCGATTGGATTATGAACTATGAAATAGTTTGGCGTTATTGTACCGCACACACCACTGACATTAGCTTTATAGTAGGTCAGTTGCCCCTGCGCTGAGCAAAGGCAGTGCCCCTCCCTCTACAGATATTCCAGCTCTGTTCTTTCTGCCTGAGAGCTAAACGTTATTGGCCCTTGCTACGCAGACAGGTTGCCTTTGTGTGTGGCTGCAGGTCTTTATGGCCAGCGAGAAGATGGGGTTGTTACAGCAGCTTCACACTGGCCAACAAACAACAAATTTGTGAGTCTGCATTGTGGCAGAAAGAGGATAAACAATTTGACTCCAACCTAAAAAAAAAAGAAGAAAAGAAGGTCTTCTTTGTGCAGGGGGTAGAAGATATTTACTACTATGGAAAAACATACCATCGTTTGAGTCCTTATATTTTATCTCTGGTTCTAGTCTTTAGATCTTCTCTCTCCTTCCTTGCTTTACAAACCTTTCCCCACCCACCTCTCATCACACAGACAGGGGAAGGAAAGACTCTGTGACTCTGATAACACAAGTGTTTCCCAGCTCCCCGGCTTCCCACTCCTCGCTGAGCCTGCCAAGACGGCAAATGCCTTCCGATCCCCGCCCCACAGCCGGCAATCTCTGCTGTTTCAGTTCTGAGTCGGCTCTTTCTTCTTCTGCGTCTCGACTTTGAGAAGAACCGTTAGCTGGAGAGCAGTTTTGTGCTTATCGCTGGGGGACAATGCTTGAACTTCTGACATGGCTTCACAGCTTAGTTCATCACGTAAAGGACTTGTGACAACATGCATTTACATGGTGCTTTCCAGGCACAAGGGTCCAGGCTCCGTGATGACCCAGTTCAGAAAACGTTGTACAGAGTGACTAGAAAGATCCCTCCCTGTTGTTATTTTTCCCCCGGCAGTGTAATATAGCAGCTTAAGCACAGCTGATTGCTGATTGCTCCTAATCAGCAATCACAGTGATCACAGTGCCCAGAAGGTTAGACGATTGGAGTTAGTTAGTACAGCCCTCATCGCAGGAGAAGAACAATCCCAGTGCCAAGTCCTCATGAGCACGACTTCTGAACACGCAGACAGAGTTCAGTTCCTCTATAGTCAGGTGCTTAACTGCTTGTTCCTTCACAAATTAACACACAAGGGAGATGTTAGAGCTCTGGGACATGCCACAGAGCTTAGCGTGGAGCGAGGCGTGGAACTACACTGTACCCATCCTGTTTCGCGACATTAACGCGCTCAACAGATGGACCAGGGCAAGAGTAAAACACTGGCAGGATACCAGGATGAGATCTCTGCATATATTTGAACTATGAGCTGCCGTTAACCCGAAGAACAGCCAAAGTGGTGCTTCTTCTTTAAAAACTCAACAGCAGCTCCATTTCACACCACTGCGCTAAATGTTGCAGGTTAACATGACAATAAAAAATGCTTTCCGATGAAAAGGAACACACACACAGAACTACCCCACAATATTTTGCAGCTGGCACTCAGTGTGAGCTGAAAACCAAATCTTAAAAAATCTTTCACAACTTCCTCATTTCATGGACCTCCTCGCGGGTTTCCAGCGCTCCAACGCTGCGTGCAGCGCAGAGGCACAATAAGAAAATAACAAAGCCCATCCTTCCCCAAGAATGGAATCTGATCCTCCCAGGCACTAAAGTAAAGAAAAAACAAGGAAAGTGATGGCCCTGAAATATCTTAATGGCAGCCTGGGCACCCTGCCCAGAATCCTGAAACAAAGCCAAACAGGAGGAAACAGACAAAGGAATAGCCGAAGCTTCATCATGTTCTGCAAAGTGGTGGGGACACCACTTGCGCCAAAACGCACAGCTCATTAGCAGGCAGGAAGGGTCTTCAAGGAGGAAGGTTATTTTTAGGACGCTGGCTTTTAAGACAAGGTTATCTCCTGCTCCCCCTTTTCTGTCCGCTCTAATATTGATTAGTTGATCTGATGAGCGTGAGCCTGTCTGAACAACGGTCAATCTGCACAACGTCAGCTGCCGAGGGGAGCATGTTTTTGTCGCTTTGCCTGAGAGGGAGGGGAGACTAC